ATAATAAAAGGGAAAAAGGAGGAAAAGTTGCTATGTTGGAGACAGTTGAAAGAAAGCAAGAACAATTGTTAGTTTATCTGGGCAGCCTAGCCCACCGGGCATTTTGATGTGATTAGGTATAAGGCGTTCCTGCGTAAACAACCAGGAGATTTCCATATAATAATAGTTATGTGGATATTTTTTCAAACCATAGAGCCCCTCCCTGGGTGAGAAGTAACTGTAATTTAATCTCTGATTCGCAGTGAAACTGGGCATGTACATGCAAAGATACCTACACCTGCACCTTTCAAAATGAATCATTACACCCCTCCCTTGTTCCCCAAAGGAATTTGTGCACATGTGAAATAGAACTTAAATAGTTTTGCCATTTAAAATTCTTCTCTCTAAAATAAAGCTCCATGAATATTTATTGTACATTTGCATTAAAAAGGCAAACACCTTGTCATAAGACCCTTTTGTTCCGTTGGTTCCCATCACTCAAGCTTTTGATGAGTGAGTCTCCTACTTATATACAGAATGTGAGATTTGCTTTTGACTGAACTGTGATTAAGACTTTTAAAACTGTTACCTGTTTTTTTTTTAATTGCTTTTCTCCAGAGGCAGCTGCTTCAGATTCTCATGCCATGAAACCAGATTGCTTCTGGTCATGGACCTGGGTGTTTTACCTTGAATGCTCGCACAGGGCAGCGCAAGTGTTCCCCGGCCTCACCCCCAGAGAATCCAGTTGTCTTGGAGGCTAGACTGAATTTCCCTGTGTCATTTCAGAAGCAAATGGGAAGAAGCCATTTTCTTGTTAAACTAGAGCAGAAGAGCCTAATCAGTAAAGATGACTGGATCATTTTAAAAGAGGAAGAATAAATGTTCCATCACTCCCATTACACCCACTTACAATCAATCTGTAGACTGAATCCCCACATAGCTGACATTGTCTCACTAGTCTGCCAGAAATGACCTTAACTTCAGGAGTCACACAGCAAGGTAGATCAGGGCACACTCCAAGCCTAAGGGCTCATCTCTCCAGGTGAGAGACTTAGGGACCGAGAATATAGTAGGAATTCATTTCAAACCCAGGTTGCCTGAAACAAACAATTACAGCCAGTTATTTTTAATTCAACATGACCAAATAGCTATCAGTGAGCTGCACTAATTATGGGATTGAGAATTCAAGGATGCCTAAATCTTGGTCCCCACCTTGTCAGTATTTCTGAGACTTACTGTTAAGGCCAGTTCTCAGTACTACACTTGGGAATATTTAATAGAACAACCAATGGAGAATGAAAACCTGGTGAATGTGGTCACTGCCCAACCAAGATCTTTCAAAGTCATTTGAAACAGCCCGGTAAGTTGAAAATGTAGACTAGAGATAATTCTCCAAATTACTTATAAAGGTTGTAAGGGATTAAACATTATATGTGCCTCAACCCTCCCCCACCCCACCCCCACCCAGCCCCCCACCCCCATCCCAAGCTGTTGGGATGGTCCTCTTAATTGGTCTGGCCCTAGTCAGTTACTTTCTATCACTCACCCTCACCTAGAGATTTGTTAAAGCTCCTGGTATCCGATTTGAACCCCAGAACCCCTTGCAGTCCCTAGGGATGGAATTCAGACATTGGTATTGTTTTTGAGCTCCCCATGATTCATTTCAATATTCACCCAAGTTTAAAAACCAGTGGTTCTGACACATAAATCTCATTTAATCTTTAAAAGAACCCTGAGAGATGGAGATTTTTTTCCTTTTTCTTCCTGTTGTCAAACAGGAAGAAATAGTCTCAGGGGAGGTTTGGAAATTTACAAGTATAGATTCTGACCTACATTTGTCTGATTCCAAAGGTAAGGTTTGAACAAAGGGCTTTCATTTCATGATCTAAGGAAAGCAGTTACTAAAATGTTGGTCCTGATGTATAAAAAAAAACTCAATGATACACCAGGAGGGTGCTTTACCTCTACAGAAGTCCATAGCAGAATGGCTAGTGAATGGAGCAGGTTGGAGTGCTCTGAACTCTGGGTTACAATGACACTGTGAAACCTTAGTCTCACGCCTTGAAGTCTGTCTCCTGCCTGAATGTTAGGTTGATTGCCTTATACTGAAATATTATCCGGTTAGGGCTGGAAGGATGATGCTATTTCCCTTGAAGGAGAAGAAATTGCCATTGCCAACAAACAAAATGTCAATGGAACACTTTTTTGAAGGAATATTTTCCCTTGACTTGAGAGTACTAAGAGTTCGAAGGTCTTTTAAGTATGGCTAGGTGATGGAGGAAAACCTGCTTGTGTCTTAGCAAGGCAGGCTAGAGGCTAAGAAGAAAGGTATTTTATGGCTTTAGTTTTTGCTTTGTTTCAAATGTGTGTGTGTGTGTGTGTGTGTGTGTGTGTGTGTGTTCCTAAACAATAATCCTTATTCTAGGCAAGTGTTCTACCACTGAGATACATCCCCAGTCCTAGCACATTATGACTTTAAATGTGGCTTCATTTCCTAATACATGACTCTGTGTGTGTGTGTGTGTGTGTGTGTGTGTGTGTGTGTGTATGTGTGTCTGTGTCTGTGTCTGTGTCTGTGTCTGTGTGTCTGTGTGTACACGTGCATACCAGTACTGGGAATCTGAACTCAAGGCTAGGGCTTCAAGCTCTCATTTGGCTTTTTTGCTCAAGGCTGACACTACCATATGAGCCACAACTCCATTTCTGGCTTTTTGCTGATTAGTTTGAAATTCAAGTCACATGGACTTTTCTGCCAGGACTGGCTTCAAACCTTGATTCTCAGATCTCAGCCTCTGGAGAAAATACATTAACAGGCATGAGCCACAAAGGTCCAATGGCAAGCACTTTTTAAATAAATAAATTTCCAGGCCTCACCCAAGTTCTATGGCCTAATCCCTGAGTACAGTATGGCTATATGGATAAAGCTCTTGTGGGGGGAAAGCAGTTAGACAGAAAGAAGGCCATAGTTGAAGATATGCCAGTTAAATGCTGGAAGGCTAAATACCAAAGGATTGTTTCTTCCTCTCTGTGTTCATTACTCACAGCTATCCCATATTTCTGTTCCTTTGTTTTGTTCTGAGATAAGATTTCACTATACGGCACAGGATGACTTCACACTCATAAACTCAACGAATCTGTCGGCCTCAGCTTTTCAAGTAGCTAGGACCACAGCCAGGTATGTATGTGCCTTGGTGTCCAGCCCAGACAAAGGATATTTACAATCAATTGCACAATCCAGGTAGTTCAAGGACACAGGGCCCATGAATTAGACATTTACAAAAAATTAACTTGTATTTGAATAATAGAGGATTCATTACTCACATTTTATAGTAGATCTATGCTATAGAAAACAATTCAAGATTAGTTTTCTTTAATACTCCAGCCTCTGTTGTATGTAAAATAATCTACAGTAAGCTTTCATTTACATAAGAAAATCATGTCCTGATTTATATAAGATCTTACATTTATGTTTTTGAAAGAGAAACTTCCAAATGTGAATAGAACCAAGGGCAAAGGTGAATTATCAGTGAAGAACTCTATCAGTCCTCACTATCCAAGTCTTTTCCTCAATTCCCCCATAACTGTAGAACCAAACCACAGAGACGCTCATTATATTCAGCAACTCTTCATCATATTGTCCATGTTCATGGCATTGTGACGGTGATGGATAGGCCAGTTTGGGGATGAGAGCAAAAAGACTTAGCACATTCTTTGAGCTAAGTAGCCTAATTACACACTATGCCTACTGCTTCCCCATGCACCTGCTCTGCTGCTCTCTGGCCTCATCTCCTCCTATATCCCCTAGCTCATTCTGCCCCTTGACTCTTCCTGAGTCACAGTTTTCTCAAATTGTAGCTTCTCTACCACGTGGGCCCTTTTACCTGTTGACTCTCCCACCCCATGAGCACAAGCGCTCTATTACTTGATGAGAGAGATCTGAACAGGAATGCCACTACCCCTGCAGAATCCTTTCCTGACCAGCAGTCCAGATTAGCACCCCCTTTTCTCCTTTCCCAGCACTTCTCTTTCTCCTGCTGGATTCCTGCCTCATTGGATACCTTTTACCACTTCTCATTTTATTTATCTGAAATTCACTAGAATTTCATTCGCCTGTTTCCTATGAATCCAAATCCCATTGCTGTCTTCTCCGTGCTTAGACAACATTGTTGGTATCTGACAAATATGTTTAAATGAGTGAATATGAAGCAAGTCATATAGCACAGGAAAAGAAAAGGTATGGAAACTAAAGAGATTGTGGATATTCTAGAAACTAAAGTTCAAAGGAGGAAGAGACAGCCCCTTGTGCTCAGCAAAGACAGTTGGGGTCCCTTTTATGAGTAGGCAAAGGTGGCAGTCTCACTACACTTAAAGGAATTAGTGTTGGCGCATCCCTAGTGGTCTCATGGTGGAAACGCAATGGTACAAATCATCCTAGAAGCCACTAGGTATTTGAGAGTGGCTCAATTAGATTCAAGAAAACAGCATAGGAACTGGTTGCCTGTGGCTCCTTACTATAATCTTAGCTACTCAGGAGGCCTTGATGTAAAGGATCAAGGTTTGAAGCCAGCCTCCACAGAAAAGTCCACAAGACTCTATGTCCAATTAACCAACAAAATGCAAGCTTGGAGGCATGGCTCAAGTGGAAGAGCACCAGCCTCAAGTAAGCAAGGCAAGCAAGAATGTGAGGCCCTGAATTCCAGCCCCAGTACAAAAAAAGAAGCAAGCATTTCAGGTTTACATGAGCCCTACTTTATAAACAATGAGCTTGGGTTTGACAAACATGGGTAGAGTAGCCGTGAAATGCCATCCCTTAGTACCCACAGCATTCTTACTATGAGCAATAATAATAGCTCACATTTATTGAGCACTTGTTTATGTTCTAGTCATTATCATTATCACTTAATGCCCACAGCAGTGGAATTATTCAGGAAATGGAGACCAAAAGTAGTTTGGTGACTTCTCAAAGTCACCCAAACTAGGACTTGATAATGCCACGGTTCAAAGTAGGCATTCGCCTCCAGAGTTTGTTTTCTGCCAGCCAGCAGGCTGCTTCTCCCCAAGCTGTTCCTACATCCTGGCAGTTGCTTTTTTTTCTCCCAACCACTCTAGCCCAAATGGAGTTTGCTAAATATTGAAAAGCAGTTCTTTAGTTTGCCAACCTATTTTGGGGGGGAAACACTATTAAACTTCTCTTTTGAGACTTTGGGAGCTCAATCAATTTACCTTCGACAATGGTGTGGTTTCTACATACACTTGGGTGTGTTAATGGTCTAAGGGTTGGCACTGTTCCCAGGATTGGAGCAGATTCTTCCTGACCTTCCCAGGTTTGGGGCTTCATGGTTAATGTGTTGATTCGTTGGAAGTCTTCAACTGTGTCCTTTTACTTCTCCCACCCCCTGCCTCCTCCTCCTCCTTCTCTCTTTCAACATGTTGCTGCCTTTGGGTTACTTTTCCACCTTGGCTGGTGTACAATCTCAAATTAAAATGCCAGCTGGAAGACTGGCACGTTCAGTCATGTGCCAAAAGCTCACATGGAAGGGGCAGGTGCTGCTATGACTGAAAGATCGCTGGTGTCACTCATGGCATAAATCCTGTTTCTAGTCACTTTGTTCCAAAATGTTGTAGTAACCAAAATGTGTAACTTCTCCCCTTTCAAAACAAACAGTTGTGACTGCCCATACAAACTTTGGGAGGGGTCTTTTTTGGCTATTGGACATCTGGACCTGCTAGGAAAGAATAAGACCCTCCCCTTGTTGTATTTTCCCCATGTGGGAGACAGCTCTCATAGGATCAGATATACCCAGAACTGATTCTCATCTCCAAATCCTTCATTCTGATCTTATATATAAAAAAGGGCCCAGTGTACTATTCCACACAATGTTATAGAACATGCACTGCCAGAAATCTGGACTTTTTTCTACTCTATATGTTGTGATTCAAAACTTTTTTTTTTCTTTATCAGCCTATAAAAATATATATCTGTTTATGGTGAAGTTCTAAGAAACCACTGGAAAACATTTTCAATCCCAGGTGAAGCACTAAATTATTACCTATTTTCTTTTCTAGTTGCTTATTGTGACCAAATCATTCCCACAGAGACATCTCTAAAGCCTTCGATCAAAACCAGGCGCAGCTGGGACTTCATCTTGAGCAGGAATTTTCACGCATACCTTGAGATCTGCTGTCAGAAGTCTCTTGGAGGTAGAATGTCTCCTGGGATGGCATGACAGTTAATGTAAGGCATCTGATCCTGAATAGCATCACTCCACTGGTGATTGTTATAGTTTCTCTGGTGGATGTTTTTGTGTGATCTGCTGAAGTCGCCCAGAATTTTTCCAAGGTAGAACCCAGGCATTTGTGGGCTTCAGATAATGCAGATGTGCAAAAGGTGTTCCTGGCAGCACTATTTGTAGTTGTGAAAAACTAGAGACAAGGAGAATGTTGATCAAAAGCAGAATAAACTGAGAGCCAGTCATGCAAAAGAATTCTATATAGCAGTGAAAATGACAAATGACCACTACCAGAACAACAGGGACTAGTCTCACACACATGGTATTGAAGGAAAGAAAACAGACACAAAGAAGTCCAACATATTATTTGGATCCCTTCCTGTAACAAAGTCTAAAGCTTTAACCAAGGGTGGATATATTGATGTTTACTTCACCCTCATTACCTGGGTTACATAATTGTGTTGGGTGAACTTTTCCATAGGTTAGCTATACTTGGCCATAAAATGCCTTTTTCGAAACATAAATGAATAGGGAAGAACTAAAGGGAATGTACAGTCTCAGATACCATTTTTTCAGGAGGAAATGAACCTGGCTTCTTCTTTATCCTTTTTCCTATTCCAACCTGAGGTGTGAGGTCAGAAGTCAAAGGCAAGCAGGTCTTTCCTGGAGCCTTAATGATTGCTCCAAGTTGTGAGGATTACCTAGCCTTGAACTTTGGAGTTCCAAATTCTAAATTCCATTCCTGCTTCCTAAAGGTTTTTTACTTGACGAAAAAATTACATGTCAAGAAAGCGTCAAAATCCTATCAAGTTCAATTATGCAATTTCTGTCTATAAATGACATACCTTCTGTACCGGGTGAGCCCCACCCATGCACTAATAGGATGTGACAGCTGCGTTGCCAACAGAGCCTCCTCCGCCTTCATTTTCAAAGGTGAGTGCCTGATGCTTGGAAAGGGGCATGCAGGGAGGACTCCTATCAGAGACAATGCAACTGCTCAGGCTTACCTAAGGACTGTCCTATCCGAGTGGGTCATCCAGGTGATGGGAGGGGCTAAGAGGAAGGCTGGAACTCATTACATGTTACCTTTCAAGCCAAAGTGCAGTTCTGTTGGAGGCTATGGAATTCTTCCCACATGGTTGTATATTATAATAGAGTTAAAAGCATCTTTGTAGCCAAGGTCATATATGTATATTTTACTCCCTTGTCCAGAAAAACAAAAGGTCTCTCCATGAGCTCCTTCCGTTGAGGATTTCCAGCATTATCTCAGATTGTCACCACCTCTAAGGCAAAAGGGGGAAATCAGTCCTGAAGTTGTCCTTTTCTTTTTAACTTTTCTGAATGAATAAACACATGGTTAAGAGAAAAAAAATCACAGTTTCTGTGTCTTGATATAAATTAAAGTTCTTCCCATATAAATGTATCCTTTTCCTCTGGCTCCAATAACATTTTTATTTTATTTCATTTATTTAAAAATTATTATCTTTAAGTAGTTATACAAAGGAGTTGCCATCCAACAAAGCAGTTTATGAACCCAATGTGTCATGATCAATGTCACCCCGCCAACATTCTCACTCAGCCCCCCAACTACCACTTCCTTCACTTTTCTTAATGTTGTAAGATATACATAGAATTTTTTTTACTTCATTTTCCAAATGCCTTTTCTCTTCATTCTTTTATCCCCTCCCCTTGACCTCTCCACCCCTTTAAGGTATCTGGTTTTTATTTCAAGTTTCCTGGTGTTTATTTTATTGGACTTTGAGTTAGCCTTTCTAAGGAATTACAGTTTTGAGTTCTACTGTATTTTAGTTAATATATTTGTGTATACTTGCATACCACCCAGAGTACTTACTTATATATTTATAAGCTAACTCTAGCTTCTACATATGAAAGAAAACAGGGAATCTTTGTCTCTTTGGTCCTGACAAATACATTCTTATCTAATATATTTGAGTTGGAAAATGGAAACATCTAGCAAACTGGAAATAAAACTTCCCTAAACTACTCCCTCTAATACCTCACTCAATTCCTGCCTGCTTTGAGTAGAAGGAAGAGGCCAAAAGAAACTAGTAGAGATTTGTCAGCCTATGAAGCCCTCAATAATGTAATAGGGTTAGGATGCTTAGTTTATTTTAAACTGTTATGCAAATAACCCTAATATATACAGAGCTACAAATTGTAGTCATGACCACAACATTATTTCATTGGTGCTATTTCTACTAAAGACACTTAGATAGCAATTCTACTGAAATTGCTTTTGTGGGCAATGAAATATTTTTGAATGTAAGTAGTGGAGAAAGTGTGGATAACTTCCTAGAGCTAGCTTACAGAAAGAAGTATGCTCTTTACTTTCTTCCTCTAATGCATTGTTAGTTAGCAAGATAAATGCTTTCAAAGCAAAAGTAAGGCCATGAGTTCAATCCAGACACAAGGAATAAAGGAAAGAAGGAAAGAAGGGTGACAATGAGGAAGAGAAGGAGGGAGCAAGAGAAGGAGGGAGGAAAATGGAGGGAGGGAATGAAGGGAAGAAAGGAAGGAAAGAAATGAAGGGAGGAAGGGATGGAGGGAGGAAGGAAAGAAGGAAGGAAAATGAAAGGTTAAGAGAAGGGAAGAGAGAAAGGAAAGAAGGAAGAAAGGAAGGCAAAGGAAAGGTTAAGAGAAGGAAAGAGAAGGGTTAAGGGAAGGGAAGGGACATGGGATAATAAAGAAAAACCCAGGGGTAGAAAAATCCTCGAAGGCAATATTCTCCAAGTGTGGTCTCTGACCAGCGAGCCCTAGCTTTGCCTGGACTTTTTATAAAATGCAAATTCTAACTTCATCCAAAACCAATTGAATTCAGGTTTATAAATGCACCCAAGATTTTAAAAATCTGATTCCATTTACACTTTTCTGTGCATGTTGTTCCTGTAAAAATAGTACCAACACCTTTGACTTTCTTGCTAGCCATCATTTGTAGTACTGTGAACGGATTCCATCCCCTTCCTTGGAAAGTGTCTGCTTTCGCATGAATAGGAAGCAGTGCCCTTCTGACTTCCTGTGTGTCATTAGGCGGCTCAGTGTGAACTGGGTCACTCCAGCGGCTCACTGATCTGGTTCCTCATGGCTTGTAGGAGCAAAAGGGAAAATTACCCAATGCAATTTCCCCTCAAGAAGAAGCTTGTTTTTCATCTTTAATTAATGATTCTTTTCTTCTAGACACTCTAGTATTATGAATTGAATCCAGATTGGCAGAGCCTTTGTGAAACTGAGGGAGCTATTTCCCTTCTCCCCGAATGTCTGAGATCTCCAGATGCTGGGGGAAGGAAGGATGCTTGAGAAGGCTGAGTGGAAAAGAGAGGATAGGGGTCAGGATGGGCGCAAAGGTGATGGCGGTGTCTTGAAGTCCTGAGCAGAGCAGGGAGGGGAGTTGACCCTTGGGGCAAACAGATCTGGAAGCCACAGGAGAACTGTCTGACTGCTCACAATGCACATTGTCTTCAAAAAGCCACTTGGAACTCTTCTTTTAAATACATTCAAATAAGAGTAGCAGCCTCGGCCAACCAGTAATTGCATTTTTCCCAGCATCTTGTCTGCAGAGGAAGCATCATTTCTACAGAAGTGTCTGGGGGCATTCTCCGCAGAGGAGCAGAAGGAAATGGAAGATAAAGTGACTTGTCCAGAGAAAGCTGAAGAAGCAAAATTCAAAGCAAGATATCCTCACCTGGGACAAAAGCCTGGAGGTTCTGGTTTTTGTTGTTATTGTTGTTGTTTTTAAGGAAACGATTGCAGCAAGGGCAAAAATATTTTGATTCTGGAGAGTACAATATGGCTAAAGCAAAGATGAAGAAGCAGCAATCGCCCACTGCAGCTCCTGGACAAGACAGGAGTCCCTGGGGACCACATTCCTACTCTACAAGACCTCCTCAGTGGAAACCATCCCCATCCATTAGCAAGCTGGCTGGCTGATTAAAAAAGCCGAACTGCATGAATCTTCTAATTCCCATTATTCCTCTTTAATATGTTACTTATCCACTTCTGTGTCCTTTTGTTCACTAAGTCTTTGAGACTGACAGCTTTGCAGATAGTGGTAGTGTGTGCTGCTATTGTAAGGGAGCATTCTTGTGTAGAGGTTTTGATTCTCTTGGCAGTGCACTGATGAGAAGGACAAGTTAGAGCAACATAAGTAATCTACCTGAAAATAATGGTGTATATTACTTAACTTCTAATGTAGGACTGGCTCCAACAAGTAACAAGAGAGTTGTACCATTTTAATGTTCTGGCTTGCTTTCTCCTTCATCTTAAAATTATTGCTTCATATGCTAACTCCTGTTTAATATGACCTCTGTTGTGTTGATTTTCTTTGTATTTTCCTTCTGGGTTTTGTAAAACAGAAGACCACAAGTTGGAAGAAAAGCCACATAACTCAAACACAAGTTGATGGGGCTCCAAAAGATTAGAACAACCAACCTCTCTAGCCATAAAAAAAATGCAAATCATAACAACATTGAGATTCCACATTATCCCAGTTAGAATGGCTATAGTCAAGAACATTAATAACAACAGATGCTGGAGGGGATGTGGCCAGAAGGGGAGTGTAAATTTGTTCAACCACTTTGTAAAGCAGTATGGAGGTTCCTCAAAAGACTCCACATAGAGCTCCCAGTAATCCCACTCGTGGGCATTTACCCAAATGATCACAAACAAGACCATACTAAAGCTACCAGCATAACTATGTTTATTGCAGCATTATTTACCATAGCTAATCTATGGAACCAACCCAGATGCCCCTCAGTAGATGAATGGATCAAGAAAATGTGATACACACACACACACACACACACACACACACACACACACAATGGAATTCTATGCTTCCATCAGAAAGAATGGCATTGCCCCATTTGTTAGAAAATGGAAAGACTTGGAAAAAATTATATTAAGCCAGGCCCAAAGAAACATAGGCCCCATGGTTTCCCTTATTTGCAATAACTAGTATATGTCTGGGACAAGTAGAAAAGGTCAAAAGCTATGTACATATGACCAGTAAGATGAAGTTAAGCGAAATGAACCCAAGATAGGGACACAAGTGGTTTCTTCTTTCTTGCTATTGTTTCTAATGTATTTATAAGGTACCATGTGATTTCTTTGTTGCTTTGTATGACCCTCCCCCATGGTATAACCCCCGTTTTCACTGTATTTGATGTTGGTATAATTTGGGAGGGGAAGGGAAAAAACAAAATGTTTCAATAGGGATACAGATTGACGCATTGCAACAATGAGACGTAGAAGACACTGTTGAAAAACGAACTTTACAATTTAGGCAGCGGTGGGGGAAGGGTATAGCAACAATCCTTGATAAGAAATGTATTCATTACCTTGCTCATGTAACTGTAACTCCTCTGTACAGTATTTTCACAATAAAAAACTTATTAAAAATAATAAAAAAAGATTAGAATAACTGTGCTTAAACTTGAATGGCCTTAAACCTATTTCAGCTTTCAAAATACTTGTCCATTCCCGGGTAAGTTGTGTGGCATCAGTGCTTAGCAGCTGTTGGTGAAGTTCATCGCCGGTTTTGTGGCATTACAACCCTTTCATTGTGGAAGCTGTGAATGAAACATGCATGTGTAGAGACGGTTGTATTCACCTTTTCCCATTTTTGTAAATACAATAGTTTTGCACAAGCTTTCACAAATGTCTGTGTTAATTTCACATATTGTGCCAGCCAGCAGCGCAAGAGTTCCCTAAAAAATTGTATGTCCTTACAGCTTTTATATAATACAGTTTTCAATTTGGGGCTCATAGAATATCAGATTGAAATCTTGGCTTGTTATGCCACAGAATGAAGCTTTTTCATTTGTTATTATTGTCCATGAGTTTCAGCATCCTTGTGCAAATACAGTATGTTGCTTAGGCATATCATTTGTCCTGGTGAGGATACATAATTTTGACCTTCATGAAAATTACAATTCAGATAATATATATAAATTTTCTAAATGAAGGTTATTACTTCCACATTCAACTTTGGGGACACTAAAGGGCTTGCATTATACCACCTCACATCCCATTTCCCTCCTTCCCTGCTTCCTTTACTCTTGATATTGGGCTGTCTGGTTTATATTGAAAGCAATAGTGGACACCGTACTTTTACAGCAAAAATGTTCACTTTTCAGTGAACCACTCTTAATCCCATATTGCTAACACTTACAGTTGTTTAAATAAAAGGAATTTCGAGGGTTTTTGTTTTATTTTTTTTGCAATGCTGGGGGTCAAGCTCAATACCTTGCACATGCTAGGCAAGCTCTCTGCTATTGAGGTACAGCCTCAGTTTTACAAGAACTTTACAGTGAAGAATGGTTGTGAAGATGCACAGGAAATCATCAGCATTCTAAAAGATCCAGGCCTTTGACAATTAGAGTAACTTACATGGTAGATGAAACTCATTCCTATTAAAGCATTTTGATCATTGCTTCTGTCGATATCGTTTTAATAAAATACCAGTTGACTTTTATTTGTGGCTTCTCTAGTAAGAACTGTACCAGACTCTGTTGGGACAAATTCTCTCAGGTTTGGTGCTGTAGCTTAATAAGGGTCAGCAGAATGGTAGTGTTTTTCTCTTCATTTTGACCTGTACAAAGCCACCCCTATTTGAGATCCAGGCATCTTTCTTAGGTCTTCTTCCGTTTATATACCTACTTTCCCATAATCCCACGTAACAGTAGATGCTACATTGAGCTAAGCACCTGCGCTTAGCGTCTGGTTGTCCTGCCCTAGTCAATTCCAAACAGCACTGTGATCACAGTACTGTTTAAAACACAATTCTATGTTTTAATTATATATAAATATATTTGTAATAAAAGAAAAAGTAGATCATTCTGCCATATAGTGTATATTCACTATAGGATCAATTTAAGAATATAAAAAAAATCTTCCAGAGTAGAATTCCTAGCATCTCTAGTCTTTTTTTCCCCCCTGTGACTATTTGCATTAGACAGCAGACAAGATTTATCTGAAAGACCGGATGAAGATTATGTTGTTTCTGACCAGAAGAGGACTCCCATAGTTTATGATAAATGACTTGACATCTGCTTGAGTTTTAATTTGTAAAAAGCAGTGCTAATATTTAATCTACCTCAAAACTGGCTGAGAGTCTGTGAAAGAGTAAGTACTCCAAATCAAAGACTGTTGGTTGTTTCTAGCAAAAGTAAATTTCTTCATTAAGCCAATCTGCCAATCTGTTTTAAAAAAATCTCAGGATTTTCCATTAGGAAAGACCTATTAAGGACTTTAACGTGTACTTGCTTAGCCTCCATTTTTAGAGTTGGACGTAGAATTTTCAATTTGGCGTGCTTTTTTGTGTTTCAATGCTGAGTTTATTGAAGATATTCTTAGGAGTTCTTGGAGCATCATTTTAGTGGAGATTTTGATGGGATGAATATCATCCATTTCTCTTTGGAGCTGTGGTTTGAGAAAAGGCTCATGATTAGAATTATCATCTTGTTCATCATAAACTGATATTAGAGAACACTGAAGTAACAAATGCTTTGTGAAATCTGGCTTAAGTCTGAAATTACTTATCTTATGTCTAGTACCTTCTACTTTTGACAATATGGATTTGAACAAACAGATACAGTTCTTGCAAAGTTGGAATAGAATCATTTTTGATGAATTGGAAGGAACATGTTTGTAGTCTACAAAATATCCAGTTAGCTTGTGCTGCTGACCTAAATATATGTCTTAGAACTATTCCAGGCATTTCTGGTTAAGGCCTCTGTGAGTTACTTCAACAGTTCCAATTAGTTGTTGTTTTTATTTGCTGTACCACAAATATATCTCTAAATATTTATTAATAGTTTTCACTCACTCACTTTTTTCACTCATTTGTATTCTTGAAAACAGTTCACACTTACTTGTGCTCTTGAAAATACATATCAAAACTGAACTGTATTATCTCTTCAAATTGTGCCTGGAAAGTGGTGTCTGGTGATAGTAGTCTACAGAAAGAACTTTTCCAAATGGTTATCAGAGCAGCTTCCAACAACATTCACACAAATTTCTTCCCCTCTTCCTTTTTTTCTCTTCTCTCATCCTCTTGTAAACAATTCCTGTATATTTCCATACATACTGTTGGCACTCAGTAAATGGCTAGTGAAGTTATTGGTCCTTAATACCTTTTCCCATATGCCACAGTTTGGGACATTATAAAATGTCCAAAACATCTTCCTGATCCAGATAAGAACTGATGGGAGCCACTGTCCCAGCTCAAATTCAGCACACACTGCCAGCCCTCCCTGTCTCTTCCCTAGGCCCTCTGCACCTTAGAATATTAGGATCGAGTCTACAGGTAAGGCCATGTTTGGATACTGTCTGACTGCTTTCAGCCTTCAGAGTTATGTTTATAGATAGTTGGAAAATGACTGCTGTTAGTGTATGTCTGTGCTCTGTTATTTGACAACTGAACAGCAGTTGCAAGAAAATATCTTAATTCCTTTAATATTACACCCTCAAATCTTCCCTCCCATTGACCATTAGTTTGGCCATTGGATACTTGGCCTATATTAAAGGCCAAGCGTAAAAGCCTTTATTTGTGAAATGTGTACAGAGTTGGCAGTTGATGTTGAAATTTGTTAAATATCTCTTCCAAAATGATATGTGTGAAATATCCAAAACAATCAATTGATTTACCTAATTTTTATAGATTTTAAAAATTTAAATAAATGAAGAAGTATTACATGAGAACAGATGACCTCTCTCTCTCTCTCTCTGTCTCTCTCTGTCTCTCTCTGTCTTTCTCTCTCTCTCTCTCTCTCTCTCTCTCAGTATAGCATCTGTGTTCATTCTATTTCACCAAAAAATTAATAGGTACTGGAATATGTGATTTCAATATGAGGATTACAATGTAAAATAAAAAGGAATATAGGTAACAAATTATAATTTTCCTGTCATTTCTGTTAGCTATAAGAAGAAGGGAAGCTAAGATCGTGGCTCATGGCTGTAGTCCCAGCAACTCAGGAGATTGGAAGGATCACAGTTCAAAGCCAGTCCTGGCAAAAAGCTTGTGAAGCCCTATAATAAAAAAATGAATGCAGCTTTTGATAATGCTATGCACATAATCATTCCAGATATGTGGGAAGGGTAAATAGTAGAACTTTGACCCAGTCTGGCAAGACTCTATTTGAAATATAATGAAACTAAAAAGACTGAAAGTGTGCGTAACCAGTAGAATGTCTTCCTGGCAAGCCCAGGTGCTGAATTTCAGCCTCAGTACCACATAAAAATGAAGGGGAAACCCACAACCTTTATAAAACCAAGAACCACTTAAGAATACCCAGATAATTCTTCTGATTTCCCTAGGACAGGCATAGGACAGGCACATCCAGAAAGTCAGGCTGCTCAGAGTTTGTTCCCAGCTCTGTCAGGGAATCATGGGGAAAACTTGGACTCAAGTCTTGAGGGTGTAAAG